AACTGCTTTAGGTAAAGGTGTTATGTTATTTCCCCTTTCCTTTTAAGCAGTCCCAGAGTAACAACGATCCACCTCCACTACAGCCATCCCTTATCATTGATGTGGTGACCTTTTATTCTTTTGGACAACATCTTAATGAGCTCCTGTGGGTCATATTCCATCTCTGACTGATGATCAGCTCGGAGCTGATTGAAAACTTTCCCCAACACAATACTTTTTTGGGACCGAAGATGCCTTTTTGTGGAAAAATGTTAATTGTGGTTTTAAAAAAAAAAATTGTGTCACCAGCTCTAATGTCAGTGTATCTGTCCTCGTGCTTAAATTGTGTAGCAGCTGGGTTTCCCTATGATCATTTTCCTTACCTGCAAATGGAGATAGTGCTTAGCCACCTCTCAGGGGAATTGTCAGACTGAATCAGCTAATAATAATGGGTAGCGTTTATAGAGCACTTTTCATCCATAGATCTCAAAGTGCTTTACAAAGGGAGGTCATTGTCATGATACAGATTGGGGAAACTGAGGCACAGAGCGTTAAAGTGGCTTGCCCAAGGTCACCCAGCAGGCCAGTGGCAGAGGCGGGAATAGAACGCAGGTCTCCTGAGTTCTGCTTCAGGACACACCGCTAGTGTTTGTAAAGTGCTTAGATCTACTAAGGGTGGGTTCTGGAAGGTATCAGTATTGTTGCATAGGAAGCAGCCAATATTTAAAAAATGGGTATTTTATAATAATGATCCAAACACCATAATTACACTAGTGTAAACTACTGTAGGGCATAGGCTCCGTTCACTCCTGTGCAGAGGGCCAGCACAAGACCTATGCACCCCTGGAGACCCAAGTAAAGCCCTCAACGTAGAGGACTGTGTCTATACCTAGTGCTTTGCACCCTACCCTGAGCAGTCTGCAGCTTTCTACCCAGCACCGGCATCATTTTGCTGACCTTAATCCGCTGCTTGTGCTCTGCAATAGGGCGTCAATACCAAGGACTGCAAAGTAATTCATGCAGAGATGAGGCAAAGGTGGGAGGCGTTTGCGTGAGTTTCCAGCTGCCCTTCTGACTGCAGCTAAATATCATGGTTTGAAAGGAGGCTGTCCCCTTGTGTGTGCAGACCACAATCCAATACCGGCACTAAAGACAAAGCCGTCGGTTGTTGGGGAACGGGTCGCTCGGGGGATTTGGAATGGCATGCCAGGCTGCTGGGTAACTTCAGACCAAGGTTGGTGACCTGCGTGAAAAAAGTTGGTGGCTTTAGTCCAGCGTCTTACAGACCGATTGTCCGCATTGTAGTTGGTACTAGCATAGGTGCTGGAACTAAGGGTGCTGGGGGGGCAGGCTGCACCCCCTGGCTTGTCATGATTTCCATCATATGCAGGGTTTACAGTTTGATTCAATGGCTCTCAGGACACCCACTATACAGATTGTTCCAGCCCCCCTGGGTACTAGTGGATCTCCCCGTCTGGGCAGCCCCACAGGAGTGCCAAGCATTGAATGAGCCAGAGAGATGGGGACGAATTTGACCGCACCTGCTCGTCCCAATAGGGAAGCTGTTGGTTTCTAAATCTACAAATCAGATCTCATTAGAATTTTTCATTGCATTTTTTTTCTCCGAAAAACTGCTTTTTGACTAAAACAAAAAAATTCCCACTGAAAATTTCCATTTCGGTTGAAACTTTCTGATTTTTCATAAAGAAACAAAACCCAAAATACTTTACTAAAGCTGGATTTAAAAAAAAAATTAAGGAAAACTAGAAAATTTGTAGTGAAAAAAATCTTTTGTTTTGTTTTCAGTGAAAAATCAAAGAAAGTTCACAGGAAACTTCTGCAATTTTTGGAGCAGCTCTAAGCTATATACATATAAATCCATCACTGCTCTATTGCTAATGGATTAAAAAGAGAACGGTCATTGCGAAACCCCAATATTTGCTGCCCCCCTTGCTAGTTTTGAATAATTTCTGAGCTGACCCCCATGAGCCTAGTTATTGCAATAAAGCAATTTCTTTCAGTGCTCACGTGAATGAGGGAAAGTGCTAAACAAACCACATGCTCCTGAAATTTTAATCTGTTGCCCACAGCAAGCTTTTATATAGTCAATGTTTACTTTCCATGGACTTATAATAGCTCCATGGGACCCCAGAGGATAAACCGACATGTTTGTTTGAGCTGCACTGGCGAGACAGGCTCACCTGTAATTACACCAAAATAAACAGAAGAAACCCAGTCCCTGGGCTAGAGGATAGAGCAACAGTGAGTGAGCAGCACTCCGTGGTCAATCCAGACTGAGCGCAGTGAAAGATAGCTGGTGAAAATGTCATGGGCTCGCTGATATTGGTGGCGAGTCGAAACCATTGCAGTGACCGCTAACGCTGTCTGCTGTTGGTTCGAACAGTTCTTTCCATCCAAGCCTGCCTGGCAAATTGCTCGACTGTGAGTCAGTGGCAGAACTGGGAAGAGAACCCAGGAATCCTGATGTGCCGTCCTGGGCTTGAGTTCCTCCCCCGAATAACTAGGCTCCACCATCCTCACGCGGCAGGTGGGCTGGGATACGGCGCCCAGCGGTTAGACATTTCTCCAAGCTCTGCGTTCCTCTTGGATCTGCCCAACGGGCTGGAAAGTACGGGTCAGGCTGGGCTTTTTCAGGAGCTTCCTGATCCCAGCCGGTCCAGCGATGCTGCAGGAACAGGCTTTGCAGCGAGCGAGGGGCGTGGAAACGGCAAAAATGAGCAAGAGACGGGAGACCCTTCAGAACCTTCCGAATAAGGGGTTTTTTTGGCGGGGGGAATGGGGTTTGCTGTTCAACTCCAAATGCTTTGCTTCTCGCCGGCTGGCGGGGCGGCAGATAGGCAGCTGCCATGATGAGCGACATCCCCATCGGTGCCCAGTCAGTCCCTAAGCCTCCGCTTAGCGGCTGGGGGAAAGGGCTGGCTGCTCAGTGGTGGCAGTCACGCTGCAGGCGGAGTGGTGGAGCTGTTACCCCTTTGAACATGGCCACTGTGTGGGGGAGCGAGGGGCTGGCCCCCCAGCTGCTCACCGCAGCTGCGTGTGGCTCCGCACCAGGTTCGTGGGCCGTTTCACGGGAGTCGCACGCCCTGATTTCCATCTCATCAGAGAAGACAAGGGCTCCAGAGCACACTCAGCCCCGCCAAGGTCGAGAGAGATCAGCTACACCGATTGCTAACAAGGGCAGTGGCATGTCACGGCTGGCCCTCGACCTAGCCCCACAGTCACCCCCTGGCCCTCCGCAGACCCAGGCTTCTCTCGCTTTTAGCATGGACTTCACAGGCCCGGACTCAGCAGGCGAGCCAACATCCATGGGCCCCTGGCGGGTTGAGATGGGCGGGGGCTGGGCTGGAATTCAGCCCTGCTGGAAGCAAAGGGGACCTGGTTTCATGGAGTGGCTTGCCGTGGCCATGAGAGCTGCAATGACTCTCCTTGGCCTGGCAGACACATCGCCAGCACTGAGTCAGCACCTCCCTAGTCCTTCTTCGCTTGTGGAAGACCGTTTTCTTCCGTGTTCTTGTGGGAGACGCGGCTAGAGTCCGGGAAAAGGCTGGACAGAGGGGTTCGGAAAGCCCCTTTGGGCAGTAATTCAAGCCACGGTACCCAGACCCCCCCCCCACCTCTCTCTCTTTATCAGAGCATACGTTGCTTTACTCATAAAAGATCACACTAAGGGTGTCTGGACACATTAGTTGTACTGGACGCTAAAGCTACTGGGCAATAGTAGTCCGTGGCCTTACAGCTGGTGTCATTACACCTCTGCCAAACCCAAGGATCTCGAAGTGTTCACACGTGTTAATAAATGACGCTCCACAACTCCTCTGAGCTAAGGAAGTATAATCTGCCTCTTATAGATGGAGAAACTGAGGCATGGCGTGGGTAAGTGTTGGGTCTAAAGCTGCAAAGCCAGGAATATGAAAACCCAAGACTCCCTCCTTCTTAGCCCCGCTTTCACAGACGCTAGTTGGCACTCCTCCCTGGCCAGGGTTCTATCAGCAGACAGGTTTCCTCAGTGCCAGACGCAAGGGCAGCACGTTCAACGTAATCGCCAACGTCGGGTTTCATTGCACGCCGACCTCGCTCTTTTGAAAGGTCTTGTTCAGTTTCCTAATCATGACCCAATAAGAAGAGACTTGCACAGATCCCTACAAAGCAACACTAGTACGTTCTCCGTGTCTTTTCTCAGGACTATCCCAGAAATGGATGGACCATATTAGGCCCTGTATCAGGGGCCCCATTAAGGTCCATAGCATGCCCTTTATCCACATGTCCTGACAACTTCGGGCACTTTTTGCAAGAGTGAGTGTGCTGGTTGAATTCCACCATGGCCAATGCCGTTCTACCTCCCTAAGTTCTGCCTGCACTCTCCATTGGATAAGGGCAATTACTCCATGGCCAGACCTGAACCCATTGCACAGAATTCCTGTGCAGTCACCTTGGCACATCCTAGTGAGGAGGGAAGTGATCCTATGAGACAGGGTGTGTCTGGCTATTAGGTTCTTCAGGATCCTTCCGAATGAAAGGAGCTCGGTAACGGGAAGATAGTACTATAGCCATGTGCAAGGGCTGCTGGTGTCCGCAGGATCAAGGGCACTATCCTCCCTTAAATAAATAAGTAAGGTTAATACATTGTCTCCTAAATCCGGTGTTCTTCAAACAGGCTCTTGTTTCTCTGTTTCCTTTTCTGCTGGGGCGGGAGTGTCAGACTCATGTGTTTAGAGGTGGGAGTCCAAATTAATGGGTGTATTTTATTTGAGCAGTTTGTGATTCAGGAAATGCATTTTTCTTTCTTGTATCAGAATGGAGTTGGACAATTGGCTTTTAAAATAGACTCAATTAGAGGAAATACATATGTTAACGTGTCCCTGTGTAGCTGGGAGAGGAGGGGGTCGGTATCTCAGATCGGCCATTTCCGGGTTGGTTTTGTTTCTAATTGTTGCATCTGCATTTTTTTTTTTTTTTAAAGCAGCAAATATAACCCTGTGGCTTTTATTCTCTTTCACCAGGATGTCAATGGACCAACACAGGAGCTGCGTCCGCGTCTCTGTCACCTTAAGAAAGGCCCCAGTGGCTACGGGTTCAACCTCCACAGTGAAAAGTCCAGACCTGGGCAGTTCATCCGTTCGGTAGATCCCGATTCACCAGCCTCTAAAGCGGGCCTCCGACCCCAGGACAAGCTTGTCGAGGTAGGGGCTTGACGGCTCCTGGCAGGCAGCCGGGCGGTGGGTCGGGGGCTCTGTCGTGGGACGGAAGGAGCGTTGCAGGGAGGGAATCCTTGTTCTCTCCCAAAGTTGTTGGTCATCACAACCCAAGCAAAGGGTGCTGAGGCCCAGATCCTCAGAGGCATTTGGGGGCCGAAGTCAGGCGCTTGAGCACCTTTGAGGTAGTCTTGGGTTGAGAGCGGTGAGCAGGGCTTGAGTGGACTCATTGGAGAGATTCCTGGGCTCCTGCTTGGTAAATGCCGCCTGCTGCACTTTGCAAAGAGGCAGGTTGGCAGGAAAGGAACTAATTAGCTTCCAATTTTTATGAACTGTAACCGCCATTAACCCGCTGCCCTTCCTAGGGCTCCCACACAGGGATCTCAGAGCACAGGGCCTACATCAGTGAATTAATCCTCCGAGGCAGATCAGTGGTTCCCCCAGTGTACGGGACCACAGAGAAGGTAAGGGGCTTGCCCAGCGTGTCACAGGGAGCCTGTAGTGGAGATGGGAACTGACCTTGGATTTCCTGAGGCCTCATCCAGTGACTTACCCATAAGGCCGTCATGCCACTTCCTCTTCTGTGTTCTGAAAACCCAGCAAACCTTCCCATGGCAGAGAAAGTGAAGGAGTCTCTCCGGGACAATGAATTACTCCTTTCAAGGATCCAGCAGCAGCTGGCTGGCTGTTGGAGGTGCCACTGCAGAGAATGGTTTTGCAATCCTACAATGATGCTCCACTCTTTCAGCCAGTGCAGCTGTCTGGCTGCTCCATTTCCTTGGAGGGAATCCGTCTCGTTCCCCTGGATTAAGCTCTGCAGTTGATTAAATGCAGCCAGTCTTAATCACTGGTTTGAATTCTAAAGAGCAGTGCTAATTGCCCTGGTTAGCTAGAGCCTTCTTCTGCCCATTGGTGAGGGGCGGAATGCTTTAAGTGGCCTTCAGAGAGCCAGCTGCTGCCACAGGGGCTTTCTTCATCCAGCCTCTATGCTTTTCTCAGCTGTGCCTTTTGGGCTCTGACCCGCTTTGGGATCTCCAAACTTGAGTGCCCCTTTTACACAGAGATTGGGGATGAGCTGCAAAGTCCAGATCTGAACTTCCCTAGTTTGGGGGAAGTGTGCGTCTGGATCCAGGGATTTGGCTTGAGCCCACCCCTGCTTTCAATACATCCGGGGCCCAGACATCAGCAGGAAACAAGCCCGATCTTTGGTAGCATTTCCCTGCCAGACCCCGGAGTAATGTGGAGCGAAGCTCAGGACATTTTCTGCTTCTTCTGCAATGTCATCTGCTGGGCTGCCCCGTGATGCGCCTTTGATCCTTTTAGATAACATCTTACACAGCCTCTTCCATCCCCAGAAGACCCAATGCATTTTGCAGATGATGGACAGAATTCTCTCTGCTTTGCACTAAGGGTCTCTTGCAGGTTCCATGCAGTAGCTTCCACTGACCTGAGTGAAGTGGCATCAGCCAAATGTGGCTAGAGAAGCCATGCCGGAAATATAGGAGAATTTTTGACCTATGGGTAGCAATCACTTTACCTGTCACTAAAATGAAGCCACCTCTGGAGTGGTGTATGGCAGCTGTTTAACAGCACACAACATTGCTACCACACTACAGTTTAGGACAGGAAATGAAGCCTAATGTTTCCAGTTGAAACTGTAGTAACAAACTATGCAAATAGACTTTAAAACATGAAATTGTGGATTGTGGTGTGTTAGTACAAAAATCATCCTTTAAAGGAATTTGCTCTTCACTTAATTGTGAACAATAGAAATATTTAAAATGAAAGAACCACCTTCCCTTAGATGTAATTGCTTTAATTTAATTCATGTAATTTTTACTACTCTATAAGAATGACCATCGAAAGCTCTGCATGCTCTTGACAGTATTTTAAAATTACACTAATAAATAAACAGAGCTGTCCATTAACCCACGATCAAATTCTCCAGCAACAACTTACTTTGTTATTATTTAAAATTTATATCATGGTAGCACCTAGAGACCATCCAAGTCGCGGCTCCACTGTGCTTGGTGCTGTACAAACCTATAGTAAATTCCAAAGAGGTAGTTTAAACCCTTCCCCTGGGATCCCACACCACCACTACTCAGCCCTAGCAACCGCCTTCCAGGCTAGGGCTCAAAGATGGGTCTTGCAGCACACTCTGAAGGTTCGCAAACTCCAACTATTACTTACCAACAGTGGAAGTGAGTTCCAAAGGCCCAGCGGGGTGAGTGGGTAGGAGTGTGCATTGAGATATACAGCAAAGCACTTTGCCTGGCTTTAACCCCATTAATAATCCCATCGACCTCAACGTGCCAACTGGCTTTGCTGAATCGGGGCCTGCCTGCAGTCTGTCTCCGTTAAAGAAATGTATTAATTGGTGCTGGGGGGCTCATATTATCCTGATTTTTGGAGCGAGACAGCCGTGCTGTAAATACCTCTTGAACACCAGTGCCGGGCTGCCATGAACCCTGCCTGCACCCTGCCCTGACACCAGCTGTTCATCGAGGGCTGACCACACACTCTCCTGGCACCTGGATGTTTAATGCATATAGCCATGTGTGTCTGGAGGGGGAGAACTAGCAGGGGGTGGCACTTTATGGCCCATCATTATGTCACCGCGTGGCATTTTATTACTTATTTATCCGTCCCTGGCACAGTCCCCGACGCGCACAAAGAGGCAAGAGGCGACCCGGAGCCTCCAGAAACCTGATCCATGCACCGGCTCTTTGGGCTTAAATAAATATTTGATGCTAAACAGCTCCCCTGTGCTGAGGAGTTTTACTGGCGAGCCAGGGATTGTGGGTAAGGAGCTGCCCCCTGCCTGGTAAGGCAGAGCCGGCAGGGAGCTGGGTTTCAAACCACACCTCCACATCAGCCTCCCCGCTCCACAGGACTCTATGAACTGGCCCAGATGTTGGTTTAATTGGGGGTGAGCGCCAGGCAGGAACTGATGTGAACTGAAAAGTCTCGCCAAAGCCTCTCAGGGGTAGCCAGGGTTAAGAAAGCCAAGAGCTCCCTGATCAGAGCCTCGGGCGATCCAAGATGTTCCTATTTCCAGCCTTAGCCGCCCTTAGGCCCACATGCCCAGCCGTGTCCTGAGACCTGAATTCACAGCAGGGAAAGCTGTTTAGCCTCCACAGCAAGAGTTATGGGGGAGAAGGTAGCCCCCGTTGCTAGGATATGGAGAGGAGGCGGAGAGCCTAGGTGCGTGTTGGCCTTGGATATGTTGGCTGCAGGTTGCAGCTATGGCTGGCCCTGCTACCAGTGGGCCAGGACACGGACATTCACCCCTCTGAGCCAAACCCTCCCAAATGTAGGGGGAAGCTTGAGCTTCCCAGCCGGCCCCTATCTCTAGTTTTGTGGAACTAACTAGCCCCTGTTGTTTTCTAGGTGTTTCTCTCTCTCCCCAGCCCCTAGGTGGGGTCTTCACCCATTTACCTGACAGGGTGCCCTCATGATGTGATGCTAAACGGCTAAATGCACCAAGACTTTGGGTGTCCATGTGGCAATATAACTGGGCCTTTGGGGGAAGACAAGTTTTACCCAGCCATATATATCGTGACCTGTCTAGTCTGGTATCCTGATTCTTGCAGTCGCCAATAGCTGAATGTTTAGGGTAAGGTGAAACCCCACTCGAAGGTACTTAGCCTCTCAGAAGTGAATCTGGAGTTAGATCTTACTCAGGTCTCCTTGGTTCCACTCAAGGCTCTGCTACTGACTTGGTGTATAATGCTGGGCAAGTCACTTTGCAACTCTTTGCTTCAGTTTCCTATCGATAGCTGGGGGAAGGTAATACTGACTTGCCTTGGGGGAGGGGGCGGGAGAAGACAAAATATGTTAATATTTGTAAAGTGCTTTGAAATCCTTGTATGAAAGGCACTGCAGGAGAGTAAACTGGAGTGCTGTGATGGTGTGGGGCTGGAAAAGTGATTCAGTGGGTCAGGAAGGAATCAGCTAATGCCCTGAAACATGACAATTGAGTTATCCTGTCATACATGCGTGATAAAGATATAACTGATTATAAAATTATCCAGGCCTTTTAATAGAAACATAGTTACAGTAGCTAACAACCTTTCTGCAGCGAACAATATCTCTGAGCACTTTAGCTCCTTCAAAACTCATTGTGATGTAGTAGCTAGAGGTCTTTAGAGGGCTGGATAATTTCATTACCAATTGTCTTTTACAGTGAGATGATCGACTATATCTATTGTGCTACTGTTAAGACTAAATCAACACATCTGTTTTGAAATCTATTGAGCCTTCTTTTTAAGATGCGAAGCGCAAACCTGATGAGGAATTGGCGGTTTGAGTTTTTGTAACCACATGAAAAGAATGCGATTAAACCATCAGTGCTCAAAATGGTTCATTGAGCGGAACCAATGGAGGCGGCTGTGCTTGTAAGCAATGAGTGGCTCGGTAGCATCAGGATCTCTTCACTCAGGACGCAGAGTGTACTCACTCAACACCAGGAATAATGGTTCGCAGTTACAATTGTTCCTCCTGTGTTGCATGGAATAATGAAGAGAATAATATCTCAGTCCTTTACAGGCACCAATTAGCATCCAACAAAGGACAGCAATTAATCACTGCATCCAGTATTAGGAGAGAGATGCACCACTCTGTTTAGCCAAAGCAGATGTGGGAGCAAATAGGCAATCCTTTTCCCCAGTGTGAGGGTTTTGTCACATTTTTTAAAGATGGCCACGTGGCATTGGCTCATGAGTGGAGACCTGCAGTAAAGATCTGACTGCCGCTTTCCCAGCTGTGGAGACCTGGTCTTGTGGACAGAAAGGACCAACCAGTGGCTTGGACTGGGAAGGGGAAGATACTAGTGGGATCAGTTGGGCTGCGGTGTATAGTCTCCCGGGGAAAGTAATATTGGGGGCTTAGGCCCTTTAGAACCGCACTAGGCAAACCATGGGAGAGTATGCTGGAGAATGGTCCCTCGAAAGCACTCAGCTGGTGGGAGACTTGAGTTCAGTATCAGAGACACCTGCTCCCATGACGAGTGGAACATGCACATTCAGGACGCGGGTAAAAGGCAAAGGTGACCTGGGAGTTGATGGGACCTAAGGGAAGATGCTCTTGCAGGGACCTTTTGGTGGCCATCCAAATGAAAGTTCACCAAGCTATTCTCTGGGCACAGTCCTATCTAACCTGCCTGTGCGTTCAAGGCAAAACCTAGGACGAGCTTGGTAGGACATGGTGGCTAGCATGAAAGAAAGAAGAGCCTTTAGCCCTTGTGTCCCCCTATCTTCAAACCCAGAAGCAGGGGGGAGCCAACTGTGGGTTTGAGGGCCAAGAACCGGAGAACCAGCATAACTCCTGGGGGGGAAAATGACCTTTGAGGCTATTAATTTAGCTGGGATAATGCACGTGTGGAGTCATTCCAGCTGGTGAGGTGAGGTTCCTGCTGTGGCCGTGTGGCGCACCAAGCATTTTACAAAGAGATGCTCGCCTTTTGCACTGAGGCAGGTACACAAGCTAAAAGCTGCTCCCCAGCAGTGCTTAGGAGAAAAACCTCTAAAGTTGCTGGCGCCCTAGGGATGGTGCTTTTGGCGTCGGGGTGTGACCTGCCCAGAAGCACTCACGCCCCCGTTGTCCCTTTGCAGGTGAACGGGATAAATGTGGAAGGCATGAAACACTCTGAGGTTGTGTCAAACATCAAGGCCAAGGAGAACGAAGCCAAGCTCCTAGTGGTGGATCCCGAAACGGATGAATACTTCAAGAAATTGGGGATAATCCCCACGGAGGAGCACATCAAAGGTGAGACCCTCCTTACTCCCCCCAGGTGACTGTACCCTGCTCTCCACAGTTATGAGCTTGGGGTCGGACTTTCAAAAGTGATTTAGAACTACTGGTCCCAGTGACTTCCTCTGTCAGTCTAGGTGCTTATGTAGCCCCTTTTGCTAGTTACCTGAGTGTCTATGAGGTTTTTATAAATAGAAATAACAATATTTTCCAGGCAATTCAAACATTTATATATTTTTAAACAATTCATAATTAACCTGTGGAACTTCCTGCCACAAGATCGTGTTGAGACAAACTTAGGTAGGATTCAGAAGAGAATCAGACATTGATATGAATAATAGGCATGTCATGTATAACTAGCTAAGGTAAATGTTTCTAAGAGACATCAATCCTCATACTTCAGGACATTAGATGAACACTAACTGCCTGAGGTTCGGAAGAAACTTCCACTAATAGCAGATTATTATTACACAATTGTCCAGGCGTTTCTTTCAGTTTCCTCTGAAGCATCTGGCATTGTCAGAAGCAGGCTATCAGACTAGGTGACCCATTGATCTGATCCAATGATGACAGTACCTAAGTCCCAAAGACAACATGTCCCATATATGAGGGAGGGGCAAGGAAGTCTGGAAAGGGACTCAGAGCGGCGCCTGCAAGTTATTCCATTGTTGTCCTGGGGCGTATTTTCTCTTACTTAATATGTTTGGATTTGGACACCAGAGGAAAAAATGTAAAGATCCTTTAACTTCTCGTAGCCTTTCGAAAGCATGAGCATGTATGCATATGTACAACCACACAGAGCAAGTGTCATGTGTATGTGAAGGAAGACATTTCACAGGACAGCAATAGCTCTGATAAGTGGTGCAATAAATATTATCCTTGCTGATGAGAACTGGCAGAGAAAGCTGCCTATCTACTATTTGACCTGTGGCGCTGCAAACTCCCATGCTGGGAGATATCTCTGCATTCCACCAAACACATATTTCCCTCCTTGCTGGCTGTGTGAATGGGGAGCTCTGTTTTTCAGCACAGCTGTTTCTTATCTAAACTGAATTCTAGCTCAGGCAATCACTTTGCTCTTTCAAGTATTCAGTGGAGAGAGCTGTCCAAAAAACCAGGTCAAACAATTCTAAGATCCACCCGGGGGGAAAGTGGTGTCAGATGCTCAGAATTCAAAATTGGAACAAACAGGAGATGATGCGAGAGAGACTCTGCTGTTGGCACAAATGATAATGAAGTCCTTGTTCTCCGCTTGAGGAGATGTAGCCAGTGTTACTGCGATACGCATCATGTTCAGTTGCCTCTTCAAGCAGCGTATCCTGGCATCAAAACTCTGACTGCAGCACTGGAGTGTGTTTTGTCACCTTTCCTTTGCAGATTTCATGATCACGGGGAATCGGGCCCGTACAGCTGCGAATATAGAGACAGATTGAGTTTAAAAACACCCAACAATGCAATTTGGGTTTTTGTACCACCCTAGATCTCAAAGTAGGATTTTTGTTTGAAATCACACTGGCTTTCACTGGGGGTCACTGACTGCTACTCATGCAGACTTTGCAGGGCTCTTGTTTTTGGCTGAGTCCTGAAAGCCTGAAAGGCTTGTAGATCTTTAGAACAGTCCTGAAATACTTTCGGCATTGGCATGATGTCACGACAGACATGGTGATGCAGCTCATTGGTATTAGAAGTGGCAACTTTGGATTTATTGCCCCGAATTTACCCCTGGCACATTGGCATTGAGCACTGTTCGCTCCTGCTTGACTAGATTGTGTGTTCTACAATGAAGTGCGTGCACCTAAATATTAATATTTACTATTTGTATTATGACAGCCTCCAGAAGTCTCTACTGGGACCACAGCCTTGTTGGGCTGCGTGCTGCACAACCACACACACACAACACAGTCCTTGCCCAAGAAACGTACAGCCTACACAGAGGGATTACCTATTTAATACTGGCTGTTCTGTGATTGGCACATCTGTACTGTCCTGCCTTCCTAACAGGGATGTGAAATTGTTCATTGGCAGCTCATCCAAGTTGTTGTCCTTTGTTAATAGTGCAGGATAATTGGAGGGCAGTGAAAGATATTACAAAAATGCAAAATGACTCCAAAAACAGATTTCCCCTCCCCCCCCACACACATTTTATTGTGAAATTGACAAGGTGACAATTGCAGCAAAGAATATTGCTTGGGTATGTGAGTATTCTGAGACAAGGAGGGTCTGTTTTTTTTTTTTTGTTTTTTTTTTTTATATCAGAAATGGCCATATGTTGTATTTGATTCAGAAAAGAAGCTACTTCATCCCCAAATGATCCATGAAATGACTTTTTTTTTTGGTGGGGGGTGAAATCAAATGAAACGGGGGGGGGGGAATTAAAAACAAGCTGGGTCACAGAAGAGAAACCCAAGGGAATGAATAGGTTTTTGTAGGGGCTCATAAACAGCCTGGGTGCAGTCTGACTATGACTCCAGGAGAATATACATGCCTCACTTCATATGGCCTGCAAAGAGTGCTTCACTCCATTAACCCTGGAAACGGGAAAGTCATGTGAGTTCCCAGGGTGGGTACGCTAGCGGAAGCTCTGTCTGACACGTCAGTCTCTGGTTAAATGTATTTACCAGGGCTTTACTTTTCTTGGTCTATAGGTGGAGTGCCTCAGCCTATTACTAACGGGTCTGCACAAACCCAGGTGAGTGTCTGTCATTGGCGTCCTATTCTTATTAATCAAATAGACTCTGATTGATGGAAAAAGCATAGCAGTGATCTAGCTATTTTGAGAGGCAAATCTGTCCAAGGAGCAATGTCAACATCCCAATTCACCTTGTTTTGGGACGACATGTGACCTTGTAATCAGAGTGGGGAACTGGAGTCAGGACTCTCACCCCAGCTTTGCCTCTGACTCACCTTGTGATCTGGAGCAAGGTGACTCTGCCTCAGTTAGCTCAGCTATGAAGTGGGGATGACCACTACCTCAGAGAGAGTTTGGAGGCTTATTTAGCTTAATTAACATATACTGATTACTTCCCTCTATAGTTTTTAATTCAAGGCTGGCTTGAAAACAATGCTGGTTGCTCTGCTACCTAGTTTCCTGCTCCTGCAACGTGCATGGAACAGGAGTAGTTGCTAAATGAGAGTGGAGACACAGGGCCAAACTCTGCTCTGGGGTAAGTGGGTGGAGCTCCATTGACTCCGATGAATTGTAACCGGACCCTGCCTCCACCAGGTCTGCACTGGAGGAGAGCGTCTGTGTAATTGGCTAGTAAACACTTGCATTTTTTTGTCACTTGAATTTACAGTTTTCCCCCCCTTCAGTCTTTGTTTTGCAGCCAGCCACGTGTTTGGAAAAAAACCCACAGTATTCTTCACCTGGCAGAATTGGCTCTGATGTTATCTCATAAGGCTGTAAACTCCACACAGCATTTTTCATCTCACTATATATATATATATATATATATATATATATATATATATATATATAAAAAATATGCGCGCGCGCACACACACACACATATATAATGTACATGTTAACATTTCCATTTCCAACAGCTGAATGGAGGATCCATGTCTTCATCCCATAGTGATCTTCAAAGTCCTGAGAAGGAATCAGAGGTAAAAATACATTTTTACAAATTTTATTTTTTCATATTATATAAACATGCATATTAAATACCCTTTCGAAACAAGATTTCTTCTTCACTTCCTGCCCTAAACTAGCATGTAGTGTTCTTGTGAGCTGTTAAACAGCTTCCAGGTTCCAACCCAGAGATGGCTGCATTTCTATAATGGGTGAGCAATCTCTATAGTTTCTGAAGTAGCTCTAGGATCCCATGGGATGAAAGGTGTTGGGGAAATTCAATATGATGTTATTGCAAAAAATGTTAATGCAGGGAAAATAATCAACTGAAAACTAGCAAATGAAAAAACCCCAAGCCCACGACTAAAACATGTAATTACGTTTTGTGGGGGAGAAACTAAAAACCATGATATTCCCTATGACTTGTTCTTGCTTTAAGATGTGCAGAAGCTAAAATGTGCAGGGTTTGATTAAATGGAGTTTAAAAGCACTATTGAGAGGCTCAAATTACTTGGATTGCTTCTGTCTCCATGTGCTGGAGTCCAAACTGTGCATTCTTTCCACGCTTTGTCAGGGGTGCAGGAAAGCTTCCTGGTTTCATGTGGCCTCTGCCAGAGGCAGCAGATGTCCCAGCTTAATACAGACAACAAGTTTTGCAAGGATTCTGATGCACCGTTGTGCAGCTTATTTGTTTACTTAGTTAGGCCCCCATCCTGTACAGACTTAACTTTCTGTACTGTGAAGTCAGTAGGCTAGGCATGGTGTGTAAAGTTAAGCATGAGGGCTTTACTACACTGTATTATTTGGACTTCTCAGCCTGTCTATTCCAGTAAAGGACACAGAGAAACCAGCAGTTTTAGGAAGCACAATGCAGAACCAAGACTTTCTATAACTAAATGTCACCAGTCGCGCTTTATACTAAATTATTTAGCACCCAAAAGGAAAATAAATGAGTTAGAGGGAAACTTGGGTCTAAAACAAGGGACAGGTGAGAGGTAGAGTAATAACTGAGGGAGACAGTTGGTAACCTCATTAAAAGGGTTCACTGGTACCGTTGCATTAGCCTGGTATAAGGTTTAAGCTAACTGTATACATTCAGCTAATTTTAGGCCTCAAATATAATCACATTAAAAATAGTTGCGTGGAAGGATTTCACAATATCTAACAGGACTAAACCCTGTTTCGTGAATTAAAAAATTGAATACACATTTCAGGATTTTTTTTTTTTTTTTTTTAAATTAAAGTTCTCTGCCTATTGAAAAGCTAGACTTTGTAGCATTCTGCTAGGGCCTGAGAATCAGACTAGGACACTGAAATTGACCACTCTTTCATTATTCAAGTTGAATGAAAGATTAAAAGCAAACACATGGCTTCAAAGGGAGAAAAGAGTAGATTTATAACACTTCTCATTTTACTAATTTAGCGTGTGGTTAGTAAAAGAAGTAAGTGATTTCTAAAGTTTTGAGTTGAGTGTCCTTTAACTTTCATTCTTGTCATGCCTTGGAATTGTTCACTAAAAATAAAGAAACGCATTGGCCAAAAGCCCTGATTTTGAAAAGTGACTTGCATCTGGGTGCGTCTCTGATTTTTGTGCCCAACTAGAAATATCTTAACGAGCCCCAAATTTCAGAAAATACTGAGCACCCACCTTCTGAAATCAGGTCCCTTTAAGGTGTCATAAATTGCATGTCTAAAAAGGTAGGCACGCAAAATAAATCAGTTTTTTAAAAATCATGAACAAAGTGTTCTAACGTGAGTGCCTAAAGTCAGTTCTGTTCTAACGTAAGTGCCTGAAATCTGAATTCATAGTTAGGCGCTTAATAAAAGTGACCTGGTTTTCAGGGACTGAAGTAGTGGAAGAATTGGTGATCTGTGTCCCTGAAATCGGGCCATTTTCATTCAGGTGCCTAACTCAGACACCTCCATTTGAAAAAAGTGGCCATTGCCATTTGGGGGTAAACGTTTGACGTGTTGGTTGGAGTTTCAGCTGCATGGTGTCAGTGGGAGTGGTGCAGACAAATGGCTCTAAAAACTTCCCTTAAACTTGAAGGGTGTGTTTCTCCATTTTACTGCACCAGGTGAAATCACGTCCAGCAGGGCAAAGTGAGTACAAAATTTTATTAGAAAATGTTTACAGATAGATGATACAGAGTGTTGAAACTTCAGTTATTAGTCATCGGGGGTAACATACAGAGTATAGGGGGATGTTAGTATTTTGATATTGGATAGCACATAACACATACAGTCGGCAGTATCCCCAATGTGGGGGTATAAGGTGGATGAATGAAGGTACAGTCAGCAAGCAGTGAGGGTACATCACTCATACAGGAATTACAGGCAAGCATAGGTATAAATAAGCGGGCTGGGTAATGAGGATAAGATGACCCTCATATGGTGGAGTTCAGTTCGGTTCGGTGGGTTCAGGGGAGAAGGTCCAACAGAGCTACTGTTCAGATCAGGTGGCACTTGGCACTTTTTCCTGATGTAAATGACTGCACAAGGCAATGAAGAATCAGGCCTTTAGCCCCATTTTCCATCTAAGAACTTCGTGCTTTTATGACCGCGCTGAAAATGCGAATGTCTTGCCAACATTTGAGCATCATTTTGTAGCTCTTTCCTGAATGCTGGTTCTCTCACAAAAACCTACTCAATGCAAATGCGATTACTGAAGCAGTACGCTTTAAATTAAGCTCCATATACAGCCCGTCTGTTATACGAACGTTCTAACTAAAGATGTCATAGCAGAAAAGATACTTGTGCTCCAAAGCTCTGCCACGGCAAGTTAATGGACTCTGAGTCCCAATTAAATAATCTTTGTGCTTAGCATGAAGATGGAAGTGCAGTAATGCAATTTAAGGCCTGCAGTAAAATGTCTCTTCAGAAGACTAATAGATATTTAGCTGAAAGCACTTCATCCTGCATATGAATTGTTCCCTAAGGAGTTGAAGTCCAGCTTTTGCCCATTACAGAAATAAGAGGGCTGAGATGAACTTACAGGCCACTGGGGTTTTGCCCAGAGTGTTTATTGAGGTGGCGGCCATCAGTAGTATGAGGAGGAAGCTATGAATCAAGTTTCATACAAGACGCATTGGACCCAGTTCTCCTAGATATCCCACTGAATTGGCAAAAAGAAGGTTGGATTGTTATGCTTTTTATTGGGCAGCTCCCAAGGTGCTATTCTCACTACATGTGGGCAGAGCTCAGTCGCCTGTAAGCAAATATTTGCATTGTAATACCTGGTGGCTTTGAGATGCAGTGCTAGGTGTGGCCTTTTTACAGCCATCTAGCTAGAAAAAACCAGCGAGGGTTCTCCTCCACTCTGAACACCAGAGCTATAGTGAACCAAGCCCGTAATGTAACCGAATCAGCAACTCAGTTGCGGTCCTCAGTTAAACATGCCCTACTGTAATGAGCAAGTTTGTGCTTCCACAGAGCCTGCCGTTATTCCATGTTGCTTCCTCTTATAAAAGCTTTTACTGTCACTAGGGGCTTAATGTTGTGTTTCCAAACGTGGTTCCGTCTCACCTTTGGCAATGGCACCGCATTTTTGTGCTTCTGCTTTTCCAGTTCCAGTAACAGCAGCAACACATTCTTCAGGGCATTTTTTCCCCTCCAATATTGTAATTAAATCTCTGGCCACAAAGACACCCTGGTCGCCACTTAAACCACAAACATGACAAACTCGATGGTCTGCTCCACAAACACGGGCTTCTTATCATATGCCCTTAAGGAGAATCTGCCCTAGTTCTCGGTAAGGTTTTATGTACATGAGGTACTAGAGGGCAAGAGAACTACAATCACAGGCATAGGCCTGATGTGCCATCCAGCGGGGGATGTAATCGGACACACATACACCCACCCCAGTCAGCCCATTGTATTCCTGCAGGGGGCACTGTTGCACCCAACCATGCCCATTTCACTCCATGGGCACAGCTATACCACCCAGCATATTACACCGCAATACACCATAACACGAAAGCTTCTCACGTCTTCTTCCTCTTTGCAGGAGGGAGAGTCTGAGAAGAAGGACCCATTTGAGGAAAGTGGCCTGAACCTGAGCCCGACTGCGGCAGAGGCCAAGGAGAAAGCGCGCGCCAAGCGGGTGAACAAGAGGGCTCCGCAGATGGACTGGAACAAGAAACGGGAGATTTTCAGCAACTTCTGAGCCAGGACGGCAGCTCTTCCCCTTCTCCCCACCCTCCAAACTGAACATCTCCAACGCGCACCAGCCCTCTTCCTGGCTGTCGACCCAAGACGCTTTGTGCTCTGCTCTTCATTGGTCGCTTTTTGCAAGGCAAATTTTTAAAAAGGGTCGTTTATGGACAAGTGATTCCAGTAGAAAGATGACCAAAGCTCCTCCCAGCACTTACCCGGCTGCCTGCGGTTCCCACATTGCTGCTGAAGAAAGACTGGAAAGATTTCAGTTTTCCTTCTTACCTGCTTTATTTTGGTTTTTACTATTTTGAGCTTCCCCCAGCCGCAGAATCCCCGGTGGGATATTATGCATTCCTGTTTAAAAGCCTTGCGCTGAGGGCTCCCAAACTGCAAACTCTTATTCGTTTCAATTCAAAATAATCTAGTTTGTTAAAAAAAAAAAAATTGAAAAAAATCCCGCTCTGAGCTACAGTGTTCAATACTCACATGGTGGGAGATTGGTCAGTGGCTATACATTTCTCTCTCGTTGGCTTCTCTATTGATTTAGAAGGGTTGGTGGGGTTTTTTGTTTGTTTTTGGTGTAAAAAAGAAAATTCCCCATCTGTTTCTCATTAATGCTGGAACCACTCTCCCCCGGGATCCCTTTAACCAGTGCAATAAAAGCCCTTTTCTCAGCAAACCTTTTCTCTTCTGTGCTCCACCCCCGCCTCCCCTCAAAACAAACTCTGGGTGTTGAGAAGATGGTAGGACTTAAAAACAAAAAAAAAAATCCCACAAAACCTAGTAGCCCAAACAACCCAAGCCTCAGATGTGCATAATAAAATGCAGAAATGGCAGGAGAGGAGGGGAATAAGCCCCCCCCCGACAATAAAGGAATGTCTGTGATTCCTGTTAGCACATCCACCCACAAGGTTTTCTGTCCCCGATCTCTACTGGAAGCCCTGCGAGAACAAACTCAATGAGACACTGGAAACATGGCTCTTCAGGCGGACTTCAAAGAAGCACAACCGAGTGTCTCATCAGCTGGGAACTGAAATCCCTGAAGACCTTGCTTTGAGAGGCACTCATGAAAACAGGGCTTCAAGCAGGAGCAATCCACGGCGGCTCGTCCACTCAGACGCTGGCTTCAGGACCAAGCCCCAACCCGAACCTGCTTTGCTATTCCTGACTCAGGGTTTAAACCTCTCCCATTTTCCTGCTGATCTCTCACCAGCTGCATTGCCAACCTGGAAGAATAACAAGCAAGCTCTCTGTTGTCTTTTATGTTGGGCTGGGCCGGGCCCCTTGTAGCAATGTGATCTGGCATGTGGATTGTCTTATAGGAAGATGGAATACGATCTGCTGGTCCACACCGTATTGCTAACCGTTAAACAGGTAGCGGGGTTGGCGGAGCAGACAACTGCTTTGGCTTTAGGCCCCTCTTTGAAAACACCCTGCTCTCAATGTTAGAGTGTTCCATAAAATGTACCATTAAAGCTATCCGACATAGCCATGACTAAACTAGTATAAAATCTTCACTACTTACCTCGGGCTTCAAACGAGGGACACTAACGAAGATTAAATTAAACGTGTACTAATGGCTTCCAGGCAGTGGAGTTGTACTGGGGCTGGATCTGTGCCGTAGAGAGCGGGACGATTCCCGTTGCCTTCTTACTGAAAGCTAACAAAACAGCCTTTTTGGCTGACATGTATTTTGTAACAATGGCAAAAATAGTATTAAAAAAGCAGGTGGGGTGGGGGATGGGCAGAGCAGACAGTTTAGGTAAATGACCACTCCCCACCACCACCCTCCAGCTAACGACACACTAGGGCAAGAATGTAAGATTTGCAATAGTATTTACGATAAAGCACATGGTTCAGTTTTTTTTGCCCCAGGTTACCCTCAGACTCTGTATAATGAACAAGTGGCCTTTGACTTTGTGCACTATGGTCTTGTTAAGGTTCTGTGTATATTTCGTAATACTGAGCTAAAAAAGGTGCCTTATAACATTTACTGTTCCTTTCAGTAGATGGATGTATCGCAGCACAGTGGGGAGGGGACGGAGGGGGTGTTCGGCTTCTTTGCAGGGACCAGTGAAGTGCGAGGCTGTGACCATACTGAAGACAGGGCTTTTGGCTGGGCTTGCTTTTAGGGAGGATGTACAGTGTTAGTGGGGCAAATGGATGCAAATAGGATCTTGGAAAGAAATCTCTGCAAGTGTTTGGCTGTAAGCCCTGGGACTGACACCAGGTTGGAGAGGGTTAGTAAGAAGTCTAGAGCTTTTCTTCCCTACAGGAGTCTCACATTGGCCTCTTACCTTGCGTTTCAAAAGAAAATTTGATGGCGGGGGGAGGAGGGGGGGCTGCTTGCTGTTGGCCACAACAAACAGTTGCTGCTCTAAGAAGTCAGTAACAAAAGAATCTTACACTCACGATATGCAGATTGCTTTCAATCCCTGTACTTCCAACTAAGACAGAGACAGTATGCGAGTCTGCTAGGGGTAAAACCTCCCCAGCTACATTGCAAGGTAGGTGTTAAAATACAGCGTAGCAAACAAGGAAGTCATTCTCGAAAAGCCTGTAAATAAGACAGAACCAACATAGTTGAGGGGAAAATAGCATGGTTGTGTTTTTTTTTTTTAATGCTGATCAAAATAAATCAGGTATGCAAATATGTACCAATAAGATTTTAAAATTATCGCTGCATAGTCCATGGAAACGGCTCATGGTTAAAGCACTTATCGCTATTTCTGACATCTAGTAGCTCTGTAATAATAATTATTCAGTTTCTGTACATTTAACTTGAAAAACCAATACAAGTATAAAGTTATCTGCATTGTAAAGACAATGTATACTGTAATGTCAATAATAAACTTTGTTTTGCCATGTACAGCTTAAAAGGGTAATTAGTCTGTTCTTCATTTCAGTCTTGGTGTTGTAAAGAGCGTCAGAAAGCAAGCACAATAGCGTGTTATATTAAATTCCATTCCCTCCACTGGCTGGTTAGAAGAGTGGGCCAAACAACTTCTGCAGTTCTGCGATGGGTTAATAGTTGTCGTTGCTTAGAACGGTGACTTGCAACGGAAGAAAAGTGTTGGTGCCCTTTTTAGCTTCTTGGAGGTATAAGGGCGCCTGAAAGGTTTGATTTTGGTTTACTACTTTTTTAAATTTAGGAATGTCTAGTATTGGCTTCATTTCATGACTCTGAAATCCATATTTCTCAACCCTTAATTGGAAAAAGCTGGGTATGGTGAATCTTTAGCACAAAGAACTTTTTGCCCAAGTGTTGGGGATAAAGAGGCATAAACTAAACATTTTAAAAGTTTATTTAAAAAAAAATCACTTCTCTCTATCAGCTCTCTTCCTTGGTGTTTCTGATGTTATACACCCGCTACTGCTCCAGTTTTAAGTAGGCCTCAGTGTAGATGAGACTTCAGTTTCTGATGTGTGTATGTGTGTGCGTGTGGTGTGGGGGGGAGGGAGAGCATAACTTTGCAGACATCCTTTAAACATTAGAAAGAAGCCAAAAAAAAGCACAAGCCAGATTTCCCTCTCTGTATGTCCCCACCTTTAATACAGAGACAAACTCCCAACCTGCAGTGCTTATGCCTGAGACATAGAACCCGGCCAGGTCAGGACAGAGCACCGCAGGTGTAGGCTTTGTGGGTGACCGCTCTGTAATCAAGATTACGCAGTATTATGCAATCAGAATAAAGCAGCCCTTCCACTCCAGCCCGTTGCTGATTTTGCCCCTGTGCTAGGCAAAGCTTGTGCGATACTAGTGCAAGAACAAGTTGTTGGAATCTTAACAGTTTCAGTAGCAAAGTTTTCCCCAGTTTGGGCCCAACTCCTCAAAGGCACCTAAATCCCTTTGACACTCTGGACTTCAGTGCAGAGCTGCTTGGAAGCACACTAGAGTCCTATGGGAAATTCCTGCAGTATTTAGGGGGATTTTCTGTTTCCTTCCCCCCACCCCCAGCTGTGATAGAGCTGGCTGAGGTGTTCTCCTCTTTCCAATCCAACAGGCCCTCAGTTCTTTAGGGGTTAAATCTGGACACACGAAGGATCAGTCAAAACAATATTTATCATCTGATTAAGCCAAAGCTGCTACTGGAACGGGTGGTTCTGTGACTGATTCCCACCACACCGGAAATTCAAATACCTGACCCCTCCAAATTTCATACCCATTTGAAAAACGCCTTCGCCATCCGGCACCCTTTGAAAGGCAGACACAGCCCCAGGATCAGAAACAGAGCTATTTTAGCATCCCCGTTGCTGCACTTACGCATGTGCTTAAATCCGGCAGACTTGCTTTATGGGCTGTCCTGCATCAGGGCCCAAGATCCAAGGAGATCCCAGGGGGAGAGAGTGTTCAGAGAGGGGCAGCGTTGCCAAAGCTGAACTTAAGAGCGGCGCTGCTGGCCCTTCTCTGCATCACTCTCGATGCTCCCCCCGTTCTTGGCTACGAGCGAAGCCCCAACGTCCTGGTCTGGGTGGCTGGGCTCATCTTTGTGAAGCCCGAATTGTACCTTTTTAATGTAATATCCCTCCCCATGGGGGGCTGCCCCATGCTCCCCTCCCTGCCTCCAGCTGGCCCTTGCTATGCTCACTCCCTATGCCCGCCAGCTGTGGCTGAGGCCACCACGGCTCCCTCCGGCCTGTAGAGTTGTCAGTAAAACCTTAATAAAAAAACCACCTTTCTTAAGCCAGTCTGTGACCAACCAGCTTGAGGCAGGGACTCTGGGCAGGGCCAGGCCCCGAGCTGGCGGCAGTCTCCTTCCAGCTGCCCCAGACACCGCAGTGTGTAACACTTCCCCGTTCCCACTGTCCCTGCGCAGTGTTTGTGTTAGACACCCACACCGAGGGACTGTTCCTGCCGAGCTGACTCAGCGGGACGGCTGCATTTCAGAGCGCGCTTTTCCCCTTCAGAGATCTGCTCTCGCCGGGGAGCTGCTGCATTCCCATCCCATCTCTCTGCAGCACGAGGTCTCTCCCCAAGCCCAATGCAGTCTTACTGGGGCTCAGAGTCCAGCGGCTTCACAATCCCGGTGCGGAGCTGTTGCTCTAGGAGGAGCAGCCATCCCCTCAGCATCTCTTAGCAGCCGGGCAGATGTGTCTGTTGAGGCACTCTTTGCAGCGAGGGTTCACAGGCAGGCAGATCTGCTGGCCGAAGCCCACGAGGAGCCAGTTTATCTCACTCCAGAGATCCCTACAGCCCCAGAAGGGAGATGAGTTTGGTAAATGCTGCTGCTGAGCAGGATTGAAAAGCAGCCCAGCACCGCTCAGGTTTTTAATTCTTTTTCCCACCAACAGTTCAACTGTTTTAGCTCCTCATCCTCTCGGAGGAATATTCCAGCCCTAGCTCCCGTCCGCCCCGCAGACTTTCCCAGAGCCCAGTCCTGCTATGCTGGCTGGGGGCCAGGACCATTGTGGGCTGGAGCAGCCAAAGTAACTTTTCCGTTTTCTCCTCTCTCCAGTGCAAACAGGGGAAAGGCACATACACAGCTACTCCCACCGCTGGATGAAGCAGACAGGCTTCTACCTGAGCTCACAATAGGGCTGTGCTACCCCCCATTGCACCCATAGCTGGGCCTTGCAGCATACAAATTCCAGAGGCCACTGCACACCGAGTGGCGTGCTGGTCTAGAGCAGTTGGTGGGGTTTCCTTCCTGTTCAGCGGCTGTTATGAGTCTCTGATACACAGAGAAACTAATTGATCCTTTAAGATCTAGGCCAGAGTTCATCCCTGGCATACTCCATTGCAGCTGACGAGATCGGCAGACAGATCACCACTACTGGATGGTGGAATGGCCTCCCAAGGGAAGTGATGGCCTTGGGTGTGTTAAACCAAACTGGACAGTAGAGAATGCGCTGTAGGGAACAAGTCCAGCAGCACAGACTGGGAGTGACTAAAGTCTCTGCCATCTCTGAACCGTCCAAACAGCTGAACTAATGCGGCTCCCCGGGAAACAAGAAATAACCCGCGGCCAAGTCCTAGGCCCAGGCACTGCAATGCCAGGCTTCCTTCCCTGCTGCGTCCGTGACAAGGGGAGGGGACAGGCTCACTGAAAATGCCCGGGGCAGGGTAGGAAACAGCTCCGCAGGGTTCTGTGTGCTGGATGCGGCAGCCGCTTGTTGCCATAAACCACAGCAACGAACAAAAGATGCTTCAGACTGGTACTGGGGAAAGGAATGCCGGTGGCAGTTTCCTGTGAAGATTACAACGGGGAGGGGAGGGGGTGTGTGTGTGTCTGTCTGTGTCAGGATTTCAGAGCCAAGCAGCAGCGGAAAACCAGCCCAGATTCCCCTGTTGCATGAGACACCTCACCTGGGCAGCCAGTCCTCGAGCGCCACTCTGGTCTCCTCGGGGGTTTTAGTTTCCTTCTTCACCCATTTCAATCTGTTAGAAATCCTGTGCACATGGGTGTCCACACCTGGGGAGCAGAGAGTTGGAGTCAGGAGGGAACACCTGGTCAGGAGGAAGCAGGGTCTAAGGAGTTAAAGAAGCAGTCAACTCAGGACCCATAGCAGATGCACCAGCCTGTATTGGGAGATTCTGCCATCTGAGGGCAGATGGCAAGTGGGTTTTTGCTGTCCAAAAGTAGGGCCCTGGGAGGCAGAGTACCATGGCTGGAGTAAGTGGGGGGGTGTCACAAATCCACATAAAGAAGGAACAGCAAGGTCTTGCCAATGGTGAAAGACAATTTCCCCCCACCCCACAGTCTGCCATTCAGAAGTGCCAAGCTCTGGGGCTTGAGTTGGCTTGAAGATATTTCCTTCGTTTTATGTATCCCCGGCACTAAGCTGACCAACGAGACGGCAAGAAGCGCGTGAGCTGGTCTCACTGATGCCACCACGCTCTTGTAGGGTGCTCTTCATCCATAGAGCTCAGCGTGCTTTCCACAGGAAAGGGGGCGTCGTCATGCCCACCTGGTGGCTGTGGAAACCGAGGGGAAGTGACTTGCCCAGGGTCACACAGCTGAGCAGCAGCAGAGGCGAGAGCGACTCTCCAGCCACTGCCCTATTCACTGGACCATCTGCCTCTCTCAAGGACCCTGGACCGGAGTTCTCGGATAAATGCAAGGCAAGACTTTGCCTTTTCCTTTGAATTTTCTGACAACCCGAGAAACCCCTAACACTGCCCAGCTAGTCCATGTCCCTGGTGTCTTGCCCCTGTGTTGGGGCTACTTGCTGGCATATTTCAGAGCAATTATTTTGAGCACTTCCATATGAGAACATGGATTAAACCAAGACTTGCTTGGAATTATGACTAAATATCTTGGGGATGGGGGAGGCAGAATTATTCATTCTCCCTGCTCTGGTAGCTACCAGGCCAATCTCAGAGCAGGCATGGGACACAGCTGATCTTTCAGACAGCTTCCAGACCCTTTAGGGCTTTCTGGGACAAAACCAGCATCGTTAGCAGCACTCTGAACCCGAGGCAGCCAGTGCATGTCCTACCTAGCCCTCAAAGGTCAGAATTGTTACAATATTTGTATTTCAGTGATTAAGTAGCCAATAATTACAGCGTTAATTAAATAATACTCATGTGTTTTAAGATGTACTTTGTCCCAGTAATTTAAGTTACCGGTACTTTATTCTTTATGTAGGCAGCAAGGAAAAAAGTGCTAGAGCAGGATTTTCAAATCCAGGAACCTCAAGGTACGGAACCTAAAGAAGTGCACTGATTTACCAAAGCACCGCGCTCCCAGATGCTCCCACTGATCCCTAGGAGTCCCTGCGGCAACGCTCATCTACCAGGGCTAGCAGCACTCCAGGCTGAGGGTTACTGTAAGAGATGAACCCTGCCAAGCCACAGAACAGTGTCTAAGCAGGACGGTCAGACAGGGTGTCAGGAAAGGATGCGAGCCAGCTCAGAATGGCTCCAAACCAGGAAGTCAAAGCCCTTTCCAGCTGCAACCATGACATCTGCACCGCCAGTGGATTAATATGGAAGGGCTAGAAAAGAGCAGCCGCCAAGCCCCAAAGTCCACAGCCGGGAGTTTGGCCATTTTCCTTCCATCTTGAAGGATGATTATTAGCTTTTGATAAATCGGGGGGAAGGGACAGAGGTGTGTGCACACGCACGCGTTCACGTAATCGAAAAGACCTTTCTTCCCTGGGAGCCTGATCCAAGAAGTCCCTTTGACTTCAGCGTGGGAGTTCTCTGCATCGAGGGTTTGCTAGGTGGGTCTCAGCATCAAGTGGGGTTACCTCTCTGCAGGGATCACGATTATTAAGTCATGAGATGTCGCTGATCATCTCAAGAACTTTACGAGGATGCTATAGAGAGGTGGCTCCTCTCTCGATACATGGCCCAAAAGTAGTGGGACGTGGCTTTGAAAGAAGCCATGATTTCCCCAGGACAATGTCACTCTGAGCAGACTGGGGCCGCAGGCTGCACACTGTGAGACAGCCACCCCATCTGACTTACAGTTTGTTTCATCATAAACAGTTTTCTTTGTAGTGGTGTGATCTAGCAGGTCAGGGCACAGGACTGGGGGCCAGGACTTTTGGGTTCTCTTCCTGCAGTGGCCTCAGCTGACATTAGGCAAGCTGCAAACGCTGCCCCCTACTTTCCCCAGGAAATGCATTTAATAATGCTACACAAAGAGTTTGGAAGGCTCAGGGAATGTTTGAAAAGTGCTGTGAGACTCTCAGATGAAAGGTTCTTAGCACAAAAGTAAACTATTGTTAGATCAGCAGTGACAGACTGGTCCTTCTGTTGCTAATTGAACAAAACCCAGGAAATTGCTGTAAACAGGAAGTGTATAGCTTTGCTTCCTAAATCAAAACAGTGCGTACAATTCCTTGGAAAGCTATCAGAGCTCCCTCTAGACTCTCCTCCCCAACAGCGGATTAACTGTTCAGAAGGAACAACAGACTCAAAAGCTTGCCAGTCTAGTGCAAGAACCACACTTGGTAAAGCCGAGTTTCAAGACACTGTTGTGGCCTGTGTTGAACCTGGTATTGAATTTTCACTCCAAGCAGGCGTCATTCATCAGGTGGTAGCATTACCAGGTTTCCCATGACTCTCTCTGATTAAGCAGCAAACACACTTTGAATATTAATCTGTCCCCAGAGACCTTGATGCATACCTGGAGCTCCGTCTTAGCCGAACAGAAAAGCTAGTACGGCAGTGCCACCTGCTGGCCTTGGTGAGCTAAATCAAAATCCTGCCTTACCCAGATTCTGTTCCTTTAAAATGAAGGGGTACAATTGCTACCAGAACCTCACTCCAATCCAACCCCGCCTCTGAGGCCCATCCCCACTATAAATTCAAGAAGGCTTCAAATGATAAGCCCCATCACCTGAAGACATCGAAACAGGACCTGAATACAGTGCTATCTAGGCCTCCAACTTTTGTAAGTTTCCAGTACCAGAAATGGGGCAAAGAAACAGAGACACTGATTGCCACAAACCTCTTGTCTGACAATTCCACAAGGAACTCTGCCCCTAGGAATTAAAGTTAATGCCAATTCAGCCTAAAACAGCCAGTTTCAAACAAAATCCTCACAGGGACCGTCAGCAACTAAGCTCTTTCTAAGTATAGTTGCAAAAATCAGACCTCCCCGGTCTCTTCTCCAGCTGGCCTGAAAGAACCGTTTCCGAAGTGAGATTCGTTTAAACAAAAAATATGTTGTTATTTAACAGAGGTATCGTGGAATTACATCTCCGTTGCTTTGCACTTTTCATCAGGGGACCTTAAAGCGTGATACAAGTCACCACACATCCCTAGGTATTATTCATTAAGCAATGCCTTTATTCTTAATCAGCACACCTAGGAGGTAGCAATTAGACCCATTTTGCAAATAAGTAAATCCAGGCAGAATAAGCGACTAGCCCAAGTGACTTCACCAGCCTCAGAATCCTTCTGGTATTGAGATCTATGGATGAAAAGCTCCCTATGAGAGCAAGGTATTATGTTACAAGCAATGGATCGGGAAAGATTAGGATTGGGAAGAGTGGGCGGATCATGGTAGAGCAGTGCCCTCCACCCTGCAAAACATACCGATCCCAGTCACGTTGTTCCAGGCAATGTTCATGACCAAGTGGGCCATCTTGGGCCCAACTCCCGGCAAGTTCACCAGCTCCCTAACGGTACTGGGGATGTCACTTCCGTATTGCTGCTTCAGGATTGCGGTCGTCTGTTTTATGTACTTCACCTTGTTCTGGGAAACGAAAGCAAACAGCATAGGAGCTAAGTTCCCATCCAAGAAACGGAAAGGAGAAACATGTACCAGACAATAGGACTATTTCCTTCATTGGAGGGAACAGACGTGAGTTTGTAGAGGAAAATACAAAAGATGTCCTTGATTTATCCTAAAAAGCAAGAAGCTGTAACGTGATCAGCTCTAACCTCTAACCATGCTTGGGAGGATGCCAAACGAGTGCATTCTTGTCCTGGATACAGATTGCTAAAATGGGATAAAATACAGCTTCCAAATTACAGCATATTAGTACCGAGTCTCTCGTAAGCAGGACATGATGCAGGATTGCCTGCAGCAAGGGGGAAGAAAAGAGGGTCTATGGTGAGCTGAAAAAAAAAAAGGAAATACACGTAAAGGGAGAAAAGAGAGGCGTTCTCACTAGTAGGTGAGTGTAAGAGGCGAGAGTAGCAAAGGAGAGTAAGAGAGGTAGGGAACATGAACGGGACAACAAGGGGCATTGCTTTGGGAGAAGGCAAGAGGAATAAATAGGCAAGGACAGAGGTGGTTCCCAACTGCCATCACAGGTCATATGGATAATTTTTATGGAAGAAGGGGGTGAAGCTTGCAAAAGCCGATCCAACCACCCCGATCTGACTCATCTCTTTGTGCCTCGGATATTCCTGAGACAACGCCAACAGTTTAGGGACCAGGGGCATCATTCGACTTCTGCTTAGACACACGGCCATCTACAACCACTATGGTCTGGCTCTCACCTTCCAGAATCCCACCGGGTAAATGAGCTGCCCCAGAGTCACGTCGTCCGTCTGCAGAACATTGTCCACCGTGAGGCCATGCTCCCGCAGGCGCAACATGGCTGCCGAGGTCACCTGATCTTTGGTCTGGCTGGACAGCATCAGCGACAGCAGAACCTGATAGCGCATCACCTAGAGGATGAGATGGGAGATGGAGTGTCAGAGACCCCTTGACTAGACAGGGCTGGGATCCTGAAAGTTCTGGGTCTGCGGTCTGCAAATCAGTGGGGTACAGCGACACATACACACATGTGACATGCGTATAAATATGTGCCATATGGGCCTCTCCTCAGCTCTTACCTTATTACTACTTAAATAAAAGAGATTGCAGTCGAAAAGAGTCAGAAATTGTATCTACTTCTGTTTCCCCAGAACCCTTAAAGTTTTCCTCTTAGGTAATCACGGCTTACAGAAAAGCAACGGGGTGATATTAGAATAATTCGCTGGAGTTCATATCCATGGAATCGGCATCTCTGCAGGCTTGACAGTGAAAGATAGAGCTGGGATTTTCAGAAATGCCTATGTGATTTAGAGCACGTGCCCTTGACTTTCAATGGGATTTGTGCTTCTAAGTCACACCCACCTGACTCCTATTGGATTTCAATGGGATTTGGATGCCTGATTCCCACAGGCCTCTTTGAAAGTCCCAGCCTAAGGGCTTGTCTCCAGGTTAGTGCAGGGCCAGCCAGGGCGTGAATCTACAGTGCACCAGCTTGCCACGCAGTAACATCCCACATGGGCACGGCAGTGAAAGTCACTGCGCTGTAGCACCACTCACATGGGACGTTTTAGTGCAGCAAACTAGTGCACTGCAGGGTCCCATGCTGACTTGCCGCACTGTAACTCACCATGTAGACAAGCCCTTAGAAATTAAAATCAAATACGTAATGAGACATTGAATTGCTGGACGACTCTGGACAGAGCATTTCACTGAGATGAATGTGTTTCTGCAGACTCAGGCCTCAGAACACTGTCCAGTGTGCGGCACAGTCACCAGAAATACCCTCACTGGCTGAATTCTGATCTCACACCAGCGTCAGTCTGGAGGCACGTCACTGAAATAAGTGAAGTTGCTCTGGTGTAACGGAGCAGGATTTGACCTGGTGTCTATTTCCTGCTTTACTGCTGAGTTAGAATTTCCTTCCCTGTGACTCTGCGCTGCAGACCCCGTCTTCCCAGCCAGGCACCCGGTGCTGGGGGTTAGTGTAGCGACTAAGATGATTGCAGAACATTTGGGCTACAATTCCAGCCTCAGGCTCCTCAACCCCCTAAAAACAGCCCTTGAAAGTTCTGGCCAGCAGCCGGAAAAGCCCGGGGTTATTGTGCTAGGGGTTATTACAATGCCTAGCTTTATCTTGGAAGGAATAAGTCTATTCCCTTAGGGAAAAGAGTTATTTCCCAGTGATGACTTGTGGTTCTCTTTAACCCCAGAGTATCACTTTGTGCTGGTTGCTGTGTCTTTACGGCGTCACACGCTGTCTCAGCCTAAAGCAGAAGCTAACCATTTTCACTAGGGACTTCAGACTAGGACATGACCCCAGTCCTGGGGCCAGAGATTACAAGAAGAGCAATATGTCAAATAAATCTACCCAGTTGCATCTTCAATAGCCTTCCTTTGGAGCCCTGTGGGCTGCTCAAGTATACATTGCTCGAGCTGTTATGCAGAGATCACCAGAGTCAGCCTGCCCTTTATCTAAATGTTCTCACACAAACAATGCCATTTGATAGAGTCTCCCTGCAGCCTCCCATCGCAATGCCGCACCACGGTTTGTTGTTTGTACCGATGCAAACGTGTGCAGATGTTCCCTTTGGAGGGCGGCGTCATTCTGGGCCTCTGATTCTGTGCCAGCGACTTGGGGAAGCACAGCACCATTCCCAGCACGCCTGCGTTTTTAAACAAACGTTTTCTTAATGGTGAACTAAGGGGGAGAAATACTAGATCTGTGACCTTTTTTGCTTCTTTATAGTGCATAAAAGCAGCCCAGAAAGTTTCCTTCTGCCCCGCCGCCCCCCCCGCCAAAATTTTGCTTTGTTCTTTGTGTTAAAGATTTAAGTCTTGTCTGCTCTTTAGATCCTGAAAAACTCTGTGGCTGATGGGAGAACTGGCAGGATTACATCATCAGATAAGCCATCTAAGAAAAAAGCACAACTGAGAAGGGATTTGCACACAGACTGTTTAAAACTCTTACTATCTAACTCAAATATCTAGACATGGAATCAAAAGTTCCTTTGGTAGAGGGCCAACACAACACCTGTGCCTCTTCAGTTACAGGCCGCGAGCTCTCCCAAACCACATGTCTAGACTCAGCCAAACACAAAGGGCACGGCAAGTCTATTATTGTAAGATCTTGCGTGCTCTAGGTACAAACTCACACTTCTTTAGTTAAACCAGTACAAGACTCCTTTGTGGCTGTGTGTAACTGGGTGGTCTGTCCTTTTATGGGTGGTGGGGAAATGGGGCCAGGCAGCCAGCCCTGTTCTGAGGCAGAGCCCCTTTAAGAAAAAGGGTTTGGGCCTGGTAAAAGGGATAATCAGACCCAGCTGGAAAGGGGCCCCCCAGTGCTTCCTATAAAGGCTGAAAGAGCTCAGCGGAGGAGAAACTGCAGAAAGACAAGTCCTGCAGCAGGAGGAAGAGACCCAAGGAGAAAGGCCTCTGGGCCCCTGCAGCCAGTTTTGCGCAGGGGAACAGCTTGGTTTTGTGTTACTCTGCAAGTTTAGTATTGGCATAATAAACTGTGCCCTGAAGGAAGGGCCTGGACAGACTCTGGGTGAGGCATTTAATCCTTCCTGGGCTGAGAGGAGAGGGCAACAGCCTCTAACCCACTTAGGCCTTGTCCACCTGAGACAGTGGCCCCAGTTTAACTTGAAATCAGTTTTTAAACATATTTAAATTGCTGCAAACTCCTGGGTGGATGCTCTTAATTTGGTTGGAGGGGCTTATTTCAGTTTCTTAAAGCTGTCCCTTATGAACTTCAGCTAACCTCCAATAAGAGCATCCAACCAGCCTTTGCACTGGTCTAACTGAAGTCACTTTAGAACTTACATTAAACTGGGGCATCAGTGTGTGTAGACCTGAAGGCTGCCTTTATCCAACAAAGAAGAGCAAAAAGGGACACACAACTTCCTTCCCTCCCTGTCCTTGCAAGTCACCTTTACACGAGATGCCTCATTGTAGTTCCCTGCTAGAAACCGGTGTAACAATCAGCAATTATGCTGAGAGAATCCCATTAGTAATGCTCACATTGATTTATTTTGGGAAGAGGTGGGTTTCCCGGCTCCTCTCAATGCTGGTTCCCCTTGCTAGAGGGTGTTGAGACCAGTCAGCTAGATATGACTTCTCCACGACTCCCAAAGGGATTTCTGGAGCTGCCTTTATGAGCCACCAGCCTACACCAATTGGCAGGGACCACCAGAATATTTTTCCATGGCTTCCACTCAAAACCAGACATCACCTTGCTCCCTGGCTCACAAACCTTAATCTTCCCATCAGCAAGTGTCTCCGTTTAAGGTGGAATTAAAAAAAAAAATCATGTCACTAATAAAAACCACGTATGTGGCATACGTCACTCTTCATTAAGAATGTAAGAGCTGCCATGTTGAATCAGACCATGATCCATTTTGCCCAGTGTCCTGTCTCTGAGAGTGGCCTGGACCAGAGCTTCAGGGGGAGTGTACCGAACAGGGCAGTTATGCAGCGATCCACTCGTCTTCCACTCCCAGTTTCTGGCAGTCAGTGGTTTAGAGTTGCCCCAAGTGTGGGGTTAAGTCCCTGCCCATCTTGGCCAATATCCATTGATTGATCTATCCTCCATGAAGTTATCTAGTTCTTTTTTGACTCCAGTTACCCCTGACTGTCCCCCTCCCCGTGTTTGTGGGCTGCAGACTAGAAGTTACTTGCACCAGGGACCGTTTTTTAGCCATCTAAAGCATATAGCATGTTCGTGGTGGCACCTCGGTCTCCTATTCTCTGCCTTTGGCACACAACAGTTCAGTCTCCTGAGGACTGACATGCTTCAGTCTAACCCAAATTAAGGGGTCAGTATGGGGTAACTGGGTGAAATTAATTAGCAGAGCTATGCGGGAGGTCAGGGGAGATGATCTAATAGTCCCTTCTGGCCTTAAACTCTACAAAACCTGGTTCAAGTTTTGAGTGAAAAATGAACCTCCAGATCAGGAGGACTGTTTTGCACAGCTCTGCTGGCCACTCCACTTCTCTCCCTGTGTCGGAGCTGCTGCCTGAGTGGAGAACAGCTGGGGAAATTCACACTGTTGTTCCATAGCATGTCTCCAGAACCTGGCACTGAAGGGAGCTCCTTCACCACACATTGCACTTGGGGGAAGGCAGCATCCACACAGCTGCTGAGATTCTTTCCTCTGGTGTGACTTTTCCCCCCCTAGGGTTCCTAACACTTAACATATTATTAGAGAATGAACAAAGGCAGATGCTCGTAGAGGCAGAATGAACAAGAGGTGAGGACAAGCCTCCCTCCCCCAGTTCTCATCTTCTGACTTGCTAAATACTTAGCTCTGTGTGGTGGGGCTGTCTGCATTGCCTTTGTTGGATGTGGCTTCTAAGCACATGGTTGTAGGATACAATTATCTCACTGTGCGTCTACGTGCTCTCCTACCACGCAGCAGTAGGGGATACAAAGTTTGTTTGTGTGCAGGGCTGCGAGGAGCAAAACGAACGGCATGGATCCCCAGCTGGACTCTGTGTCACTGGCCCCCCCACTGAAACAGCAGCCACCCCTTAGCTTACAGTGACCTGCCACTAGCTCTCATTGGGCCTCCAGACCAAAGGATAAAATCTCCGAAGCACAGTCGGAGCACAGCAACCCTTCATTATACTGGTTTCCACCAGGGAGAGTCTCTTCTTTGGTGTAACGCTCACGGTCAAAGCAGAGGCATCAAGATCAGGGCTGATGAAAGGGATGGTCAAGTTCAGGTAATGGGATGACAGACCACCCCATGGAACAGCCCTTCTTCATCTCAGTTCTTCATCCTTGATGCCCAGCAAAGAACCGCCAAGGAGAACACATCATTCATCTGGCAAGATAAACCACTCTCTGAGTGACCAGCAGCATTTACGCCATTTCTCATGGCCTACAGCTGTCACACCTTTCAAACACACATCCCTGGGCAAATCGCGGAACCGCTGTAAAACTAGGGTAGGGTACCTGCCCTCCAGCATGAAGGAGTTTGAGCTCCACAGCTGGAGAAAGTTGCACAATATCGTCTGTTGCTCCGCTAACGCTCTCAGGTTGAACGGTAAGCTGCGTGCTTTACCTCTGGAGGCGCGCTGCTGTCAAAACACTTCTCAGCCCCCATCTGATCCACAGGAGCATCCTTATTCCGCCTCATTTCCCGGATATTATCCAGCTGCTGCCTCCAGTTCCCTGGCTCCCATTTCAGTCTCTTGGAGTCAGTCTCCTCCTTCTCAGCAATGCCTCCTTCCAAAGAGTCATACCGAACGGTGACTTTCTTCTCCTTCCTGCTGCTCTTGGATGGGACGGATGCCGTGCTGTGGGCCCGACTTCCTGAAAGAGGTGAAAAAGGGACTTTCAGACCATAGCCTTTGGAATAGTCAGGGCCAAGCTCCTCCCTACACCAATACAGCGGAGCCATGCAGCCTAAAGTCGGGCTAAGGTTCCACCATTCCCCTGCTTGTCCCCCAAGCCCTCCCATCAGGAACACAACCATGTCCACAACATATACATAAGACAAGTTTTCCAGTGTAGACTTATGAACTGTATAAGAACTTATTAGAAAACGGCCCCTTTCACATGTAACAGCGCGCACACACAGCATAACGGCATGACATGCGATCATATGTCTCTGGCCTCTGCACAGGGCTGGACCACAGGCAAAGGGCTGCCCTCTGAGCCACTGCAGCGCTTATCTCGGGTACCTGCCAGTCCAGGGCTACGCTGGAGCAGGCTTGTCTCCTGGGTCATGCCAGGGGCAGAGGCAGTTTAAGGTCCCCTACTGTGGGGTCTACAACTGGGGTGACCAGATGTCCCGATTTTGGGGTCTTTTTCTTATATAGGCTCCTATTACCCCCCACCCCATCCCGATTTTTCACACTTGCTGTCTGGTCCCCCTATCTAGGACAGCCCTCCTGGCTGGGGATGGGCTTGGTGACCCGATGGGGCTGTTCCACCGGTAGCCTCTGTGAGTGGGAGCTCAGAGGTGGATTAGCTGGGCCAACGCTCCCACAGCAGTGACTGTACAGGGTCCGGGGGTAGGTGGGTGCAGGCAGCAGCTCCAGGAGGGGAGACCCTCCCCCAGAATTCACATCCCCTCACAGCCAGTCACCCCCCATGTCGGATCCTCTTCCAAATACACATCCCAGCCCCCTCTGTGCACCCCACTTCCATCTCTCACCCCTCCCCCAGCTCTTCCATTCCCTCCCCAAGTCCTCTCCCCTTCCCCCTCCATGCACCTCACATCCATCTCCCAGCCCCTCTCCCACCTCTTCCATCCCCTCCCTCTCCATGCACCCCAC